AAACATTTTCTACCCAATCCAATATTATATTTTCTCCCAAGGCAAGAAAAATAAATGGCCACACAACCTATTAGCCTGGATACATTCTTACATTTTACAAGGCTAATAGCTTGTTCAAGGTGGGTGACTGAAGTGGATAAAGCCCCTTTGATCCATAGAAGCATATGCAAATGTAATGTCAATCTTCCTTGCTGCTCTACAGTTGCATAATATGCATCTGTTTCACCATATATTCCAGGATGATTAGTTCCAACACCAAGTACATGCTGAATAAAATTTTCACAGATAAAGTGAAAAAACCTTGCTGCAGCAACAGGATTTTTAGCAATCAACAATGAAGATTCTTTGGAAAAGGTCAATTCAGGTTTAAATTCAGTGTCAGTGTCAGCAAAATACAGACAGATGGGATGTTTGTTGTCTGTCGGTGATAGAGTAATAAACCATGAAGGTGCACCAATATAAGATATTAGAGACCAAACCTCATTTCTCATATATTTCTTTGATGTAATGAATCCCTGCACATGACCTCCCACTGAATCTAAATCGGTAAGTAGCTGGAAGCATTCTTTTTCCTGCTCTGTTTCAGGTTTCACATGCTCCCCCAATTATTGATACCAGATAAAACATCCATATCAAGATTTAACAGGCGATCTGTGACCAAGGAAAATGAGGACTTTTTGGTTGTAAGATATCCACCTGTTGTACTTTGTTGTATTTGTTCATGGTTAAACCCTATCAATGGAAAATGTGGGTCCATCTGGAAGCATTTATCATGATACATTAATAGAAGACGCTTGTGTGCCATGGAAGAAATATTTTTAGGAATCATATTGTTACATATGCCACCAAAACCATATGGAAATAACCATGGTAACAATGAGGGAAATAGTTGAGGATTATTATAAACTGAGTTAGGCTCATCAGAGTGGCCAACAAACATAATTTTTTTATTGGATGTAAGATGCTCCAACGCCTGTGCTTTAATAGCCTCCAATGGCATGGTGGAGTATTCCTCTCCTGTCAACCCTTGGACAACAAATGTGCATGGACCTTCTGTGGTTCCAATTTCCTCACCATCATCATGTAAACTTGTAGCCTCCCTGTCCTTGTTAACAATAGATTGACAATAGTCAATCACAACTGGTGCATCGCATAAAGGGTACTGACTTAGATTTTCCTTGGAAATTCCAATATCATAGTAATCTTCATGATTCAATCTCAACCATTACAATGCTTTTGCAACATGCAATCTTCATACAAGCAAAGGTGTACGTTGAACATCTTTTTTTGTGGGTTGGCATGGTCCTGTAAACATTACTGCTAAGACTTCATCAAGATCTTCAATAGGTGGAGGGAGTGTATCATAGATTTTAGCAACAGGATTATGAAATGTGATTGCATTTGCATGCATTTTATATCTTCCTGAAGCAACTTTTATAATACATCTATTATGTTGGACTCTGGAAGTTAAAAGCTGCTCAACATAAGTTAGGGATGCAAGTTCTTCAGGTATTTTTCCAAGCCAAAATGCATTGCAAAGAGCTTTAGGAGGTGTTAATCCTTTTTTAAGAAATTTTAAGCAGTCCTTGCATATATGTTTGCAATCCGGATCAATAATTGGGCCTTCAATTTCCTTGATTTCTTCATAGATAGATTTTCGCTCAAGTCGAGTCACTCCTCCCCTTATCAGTGGTTCAAAACTACATGTAACTTCACTGTGATCTATCATATCCACAACTCTTGTGAGCTGGCCACATGCTGCACACCCAGCTTCAATTAAGTTTGAAGGATGAGTGCCTCTACAAAACCCAGTTATAATTTTGTGAATTAATTTTTCAGAGGGTGGCTTTGGAGGAAATACTTGTGGGTGTGGGCCAGTGCTTTGCATGGCATGTATGAGTCCTTTCTGTGGACTCTAAATTTAATATTAGGAAATTGGTCATGTAATCACTTTATGATTTTCTGTGTTTTGTTCTATATTTGCAAATAGACCCTGAGCTCTGAGCCTAGCCATCAATATCATAGCAACAATGTGTGCTATTCTTTTCTTTTTTTCTTTTTTTTTCTTTTTATAGCAAATTTTCCCAATTTTATAACTATTTTTCTGTTTATGGTAAAATATTCCCACAGTCCTGTTTGCATATATCTCAGGAAAGAGGATGGTTAGTTATATTTTGTGACCTATAATAGCATGCTCTATATATTTGTGATGAATTTCCTTTTTTGGGTTAAAATTCCCATGGTATCAGAAGCACAGCCTCTCACTTAGCTCCATAAACAACAATTGTAGCCCCTTTCCTTACCTTTATAGATATATATAAATAATGTCATGCAGACCATTCCTCATTGAGAAAAACACAAAATACTGAAAAAATTGGACACTTTTTGGAAATTGTCATGCATTTTTGACCAATATCTCAAAGAGCAAGAAAGCTGGTCTCAAGATATAGTCACATTGCATAATATGACAATATTTTTACATAGTTGTCTTGATTTTCCATATTTGGATATGGACCCTGAATACTGGACACAGCCCCTTCAACACCATGGCAACAG